ATCAACTTAATTAATCAGGGGTGATAAAGGAAATGATCCAAAAATGGGCATGGGAAGGCACATGGGGAGCAGGACACACACGAAACATGGAACAGAGTCTGACAATCCCCATGTTGCCCTCTCACATCAAAATTTACCAACATACTTTGCTGTTTTGCACTGTTTTCACATGTCAACTGTGAGTCTTGTCAATTGATATGTGCATATTTCTCTCCTAATTCAGGCAAGATGACTTTTTCATTGGAGAAAGGGACAAAGCACTCACATTTTAGCCGGAAACAATAGTTTGAAGTTAAAAACGTCTTGATGAATTTGTTTAAATGTTTACAAACACAGATTTCCACAAGACAATTAATTATTGGGCTTCTTGTGGATTATTGTGATTTTAATTTTTTTTATCAGCTGTTTGGACTCTCATTCTGGCGGCACCCATTCACTGCAGAGGATCCACTGGTGAGCAAGTGATGTAATGCTAAGTATTCCTTGAAAAATAACTGTTTTGCATGTTCAGAACAAACAAAAATACCAACAACAACAACAACAAAAAAAAACGGCAGAATGTTATTATGTATGCAAGCCACAACATCTAAAATATTTTCAAATGACTGTTTCAAGGAAGACAGGGACACAGCAAGCCATCGGCGCAGTCCGCTGGTCATGTTGGATGATATCTCATTGCCTAATAAACAGCATGTATCACAGGTAGCCGGATTTATAGTGTTGCCCTGGCTGAGCGAATCACGCTGTATATCACCCACACTGAAGTTCTCTCAAGTTATGGCCACAGACAGGGAGTCTAAACTGCCCTGTCATCAAAATTATGGAAAGTGAGACTAACAACGCCTGTGACAGCAGAGAATAGACCATCTATCACTCCTGCAACACAGATTTGCTGCTGACATGTGAAGCCCCGGGACAAATGCGCTACAGACCCCTATATGCACATGCAAACACACACAGGCTGGATTTAGGAAGGAATATGGCAGACACATATGTTCACTATCCACTATGAGATTACACACACACACACACACACATACTGCTTGGAGGGAAACCAACATCTATCTGAGTTACGATTTCATTTTCACTGCAACAAAGTATTATGGCATTGAGCTGAAGGTGGTGAAGACACACACACACACACACACACACTCACCGAGTGTTGAGTAGTAGAAGGGGAAGAGGGTGAGGTCGCTGGAGAACTCAGGAAGTGCGTAGAGTCCTCCAGGCAAAGAATTCCACATCAACCTGCTCCTGGACATGTGTGTCCGTATCCTGTCGTGGATAATCTGCAAAAACAACAACATTTACAAGTTACAATTAGCATTATGGGTGCTACGATGAACTAATCATGCAAAGATTGTGAGTGCTCTCAAGCTTTCTGTTTAGGACATGTGATAACATCATGTAATCATTGCTCTAACATGTTCATTGTTTGTGCTTAAAGGGATAGTTTACACAAAAATTAAAACCACCCCATGATTTACTCACCCTCAAGCCATCCTAGGTGTATATCAGTTTTCCTTTGCTGTAAACAAAACTTTTTTCTCGCGAGACAAGCATATTCTCACCGGTACGCTACGCCTACATCCTACGTCATCCGCTGGAGTGACACTATAGTGAACATAGTGAACAGAAGGCATTTATTAACCCCCCGGAGCCATGTGGAGCACTTTTTATGATGGATGGATGCACTTTATTTTGCTTCAAAATCCCAACACCCATTCACTGCAATTATAAAGCTTGGAAAAGCCAAGACATTTTTTTATATAACTCCAATTGTATTCATCTGAAAGAAGAAAGTCATATACACCTAGGATGGCTTGAGGTTGAGTGAATCATGGGGTAATTTTCATTTTTGGATGAACTATCCCTTTAAATGAATACATGACATACATTAACTGCATGAGTTGTATTATCTTAGAACTGTACTTTTCTGCCATATGGATATTACCTTGACACAGTCACCTCTATAAACAGATCACTCTTAATTGTAATGTAGAATCATTCATTTTCTGTAAAGCTGCTTTGAAATGGTATCGTGAAAAGCACTATATAAATTAATGTGAACTGAATTGAATGTTTTAGCTGTGGTTAGTTCATGATACCTAATGCATTAACCAATGCAAACAAATGTAAGAGTATTGCAATAAATAAATAAAATAAATAATACAAAATAAAAAAAATCAACATGTCAGACCATCTCTATCAGTTTTTGCAGGCATCGTCCAGACAACATTCTCAACAGTATGCACACAGGTCTAATTACTCAAATTAAACACATTAATCACATTTTATTACAACACTAATTAATCACAATCTGCCTCACCCCCATCACAATGGGATGTGTGAGATCTTAAACCCCAAAATAACCTATAAAACACACACACACACACACACACACACACACACCTTTTGTGTCCTGAGTCCTCCTCTAATGGGCTTGATTGGTTCTGCTCTCCCAAGTCTAGAAATGCACAAGCCAATTAGGATCAACTACGGTCTAATTAAAGAACCCTCATGTCAGGCAGCATGTGTGTTTGTGTATCTCTGTGCCTTTACATGTTTTAATGTGCTGTACGTGAAGTGTAGGGATTTTGTCAGATCCACGAAGCATCTCGCTGGTCTTGTTCTGTGGAGCAGGGAAATTAACTCAACGTGGCATATGTTCTAGAGCAAGTGCCAGTATATGCAGGTCCACGGAGAGGGCATTTGATCTATGTGCTTAATTAGGCAGCATTTATTGCTGCATGCACACACACACACACACACACACACACTCACTCACTCACTCACACACACACACACACACACACACACTCACTCACTCACTCACACACACAGACACTCACCGAGTGCTGAGTAGTAGAAGGGGAAGAGGGTTGAAATAATTCTTACATATAGTCTGTCAACATGGTATTGCGTGGACATCACAATGCACTATTAACTATGCAGTACTGTAAATGGACCTCTCAACAGAATGTTGCAGGGATTATGTATTTTTGTATCTTCTGGTTCCATCATCCTGAAGTCAATTAATTTTTTGAAAGGGTCTTTGGTTAAATGCCTGAAATAAATCCAGTGGTTAACACAAGTTTAAGACAGTTTTTTCACAGTTTTTTTCACACTAGTGTCTGTGTGTGTGTTTAAAGCTTTCACTTGTGAGAAAAGGCTTTTGCTAATAAGTGGCTAAATGGGACTACAGAGGTTGTCGGGGACATTAAACATCGTCATGTTGAACAGTAAAACTCATCTACTCACTAGTTTGCTTTCAGAAACTGAATGAGTTGTTGGAAGTTTAGTGATGTTGATGCCTGCAGTACATTTGGCTTTTTACTTCTGCCGATTATATTAAGGCTTCTTTATGAACAAAACGTGTATGAATCATAAACTTGAATCAAAACTTATTTTCAGAGCTTATTTTCTGCCTTAATCCAAAATCCAGTGGAACAATGCTATTTCTATTTATTGTATAAAAACACTGTCGAGGGAACAAGGGTGATGCCAACCAGTTTGGCCTATAAAAATGCATCATCTCTGCAGCACACTATCCCTGCATCCCAATGTTCATATTATCTATCCTAAAATAAAATATGCGAGATTACAATAAGTGTGGCTCAAAGCATAGTATGTTGAAAAGAGTATCCTAGAAGTCCCCGGATGGTTCAAACGATTTTTGAAGTGTGGATCTGTGCACACTCTAATGTCTAATATTGCCCACAATCCAGTCCATTGTACAATCCACCTGTTTGGCCATTAACTTTTAAATGCATCTTTACGCAAAAAATATGAGCAGAGTTCTCCGCATAAAAACCCACAACTGGCAGATCAACGAACTACTTCTTTACTCTCCAATACGGTAGGAAGTTAAATGAAATGAAATGTGGAGGATGTTAACTGTGACAAGATGATTGACAGGCCAGTGTACAGTGACAGGGTACGTGACAGAGCGGTCCATTAAAGACGCAATTCAACAATTAGGCATTTCCCGAAACCATAGTTCCAACATACATTTGCAAACTGTACAGTAAAGTTGTGTGGCTGAAACTACAGCTCAGTAAGATTTTTTTTTTTTTTTTTGAAAAAGATTCTTATGTTTACAGAGGCCTCATTTATTTGATAAAATACAGTCAAAAACATTAATAATGTGAAATATTATCTTTATATGTTTCATATATTTCAATATATTTGATTAACATTTAATTATATTTGACATAATTTCTGTCAGGACCACTATCGTCAAAGATGATTGACAATTAGCATACAGTTTGGACTGGCGGTATGGTTCTGTTCTGGGCAAGAACTCCCTGCGCATCCATGCAGCCTAGCATGGATGAGAGCAGCAATAACCCCCCAGGGTAAACAGAACAGAACCAACATAAATGTATTGCAGATATCTTTAAAGTTCAATAATGTTATGTACACATTTTTAGAATTAGTCTGATTCAAAGGAGAATCAGAAGGCTGAATCCTGACTGACAGAGGAGGAGTTGGGGATGGAGGAGGGTAATTAGCTATTGAGCAATGCGAAAACTGCTGATAATACTGAGGGACCTTATATATGAATGCTTAGATAGGTGTCGTATTCCTATAGGTTGATGGGGATCAGCTGAGAGTCAGCTGATGCGAGCTTGACTAACGTGACCTGCCAGAACTAACGCTACGCTAGATTTAATGCATCTTTGCTGAATAAAAATATAATTTAATTATTATTTATGTTTCTTTTGTACATTATCTTGAACACTTTAACGCTTATTATTATTATTATTAATAATAATAATAACAAGGTATAACAATAATTGACTATTATAATTTTCTTGTTTGGATTGCAAGGTATCACTGGTCATCTGATCTCAACATTGCACCTCCCCCCATCCTCTATATGAATAAAATATGAATAAATAATGTTGAATAAAATATTTTTGTAATCCATTGATGCAACTGAAGTATTAATCATTTGAAACACTTGTCTGAAGTGCAAATCATTTCTTTTGAAGTTAATCCATTTAACGAGGAAAAATTTATTTATTTATTGAATTATTTATTTTTCTGAGTGAACTGGAGAAATCTTATTTTTATTGTCTTTCTCTGTATCTCTCTGTAATTTGACTTTGATATGAAGAACTATGGTTCAGTCAGAAGGAGGGCAAATCCAGACACTGGGTTCGACATTTCACACAACGTCATTCTGTTCAAAACGTTCCGAGCGGAACAGAAGCGGGGATTAGGATAACTCTGGAAAGAGACCAGCCTCAGGGGCCGGAAAAACACAGCATAGAAAAGTGTCTGTTCAGTGACAGGACACATATTGTTTACTCCTAGTCCCAGAATGTATGACGCAGGCTTTTCAATGAGGTTCAATTAAGACTTTATTGCAGCAGTTCCTGCATCTGGTGGGTTGCAACAAAAAGGAGTCACAATTCTATTCTCGTCACGGACAGCAGGGAAAACAATGCTAAAAGCAAATAATAAGATCAGAGTTATTTTAGTATCTTATTTTAGTATTTGAGGTGCTCTTATAGTTTTTATTAATATTTTGAATTAGTTTTTAGATTTATATTTTCTGTTTTCATTTTAATTTTAGTCAAGGTTTTAGCAATTGTGTGTGTTTTATTGTGCTTGTTTGTAAATAAAAATGAGAAAAGTTGCTTTGGCAACTAGCTGAAATAAAATAATAATATAAATTATTATTATTTTTTAAATATATATTTTTATATTTGAATTCAGTTAAAGTTGATTTTACTTCAAATAACTTTTTTCAATGGTTTTATTTTTTATTTTTAGTGAGCTATAATAACCCTGCATAAAATGCAATATAAAAATATATAATAAAAAAATAAATATCAAATTTTAAAAGGGGGTACATTTTTTTAAACATTAGATTTAAATACATTTTAAACATTATTTATATTAAATATTCTTTCATTACTTATATTAAATAATGATTCAGTTGAATGATTTTAAATACATATAAAAGCATTGGGAAATGGATTTAGAAAATATGCATTTAAAAAGGGATTTATTATTTATTGTTGCTTTATAAACATGAATTAATTACATTTTGACGTACATTTTTACATATAGTAAGTTTATTTATAATTTGAAAAGTGATATTTATTTACATGTTTTAAGTTTGAATTTATATGTTTAGAATTAATTTCCTCATTTAATTTCATTTTCTTCATCTAATTGCTGGGAGCATGAAAAAAATAATAATTTCAATTTAATTTGCATGTAATGTTGATATTGTTTTCATGGTCGTTTTAAGGATGTTTTTTTGTAAATTACAATTTAAAGACAGCTTTGATACCGTTTTGGGTAATTGCTTAATCCCGCTGCTTATAGTAGACAGTTTTGTGAATTACAGCAGT